CCCCAGCATTCTACCAAAAAAAGAGCGGGGGGGGGGGGGGGGGGGAACCCAAACAACCCAAACTATTGAACTTCAGGCAATGATGAAAAGTCTTTGAAGAGTATTTTTGCTATGAAGGGCAGAGTTTCGGCTACTCCCCAAGCGCCCCGTGAGCCCCAACCTCAGCTGGGTCGCGGGGAACCGGCTGCGTTTCTTCCGAACCACGAAGGATTTTTTTCAGGTTATTTTTGTTTCCTTTATGGTGAAACTTAATTTCTTCTTTTTTTTTTTTTTTTTTTTCCTTTTCCTTTTCTTTTTTAAGGGACTATTAAATACAAATTATATTTATTGAGAGATGATATCTGCCATCCGCCGGGTTCCTTTTCACAAACACTAAAGCCACTGGCCACGCGGTGTTTTCGGGGCGTGGGACTAGATATTTTTCTGGCACCTATGGTGGGTTTTGTTTTTTTTTTAAAGCGGGGTGGGTTGGGTGGGAGGGCGAGAGCGACTCATACCCCAAAGCACCTTTCATGGAGGAAAAGCACCAAACCTGCCCCCCGGGAGGGTTTTTTCTCCCATCGGCTGGGGCCGGGGGGGGCTGCGCGGAGGGGACCGGGAGGGAGGAGGCTGCGACGTGATCCTGAGGTCTTAAAATAAGTGCACTTAATGGTGGTGGCGGACGGAACCTTGCTGCCATCGGGCCCTGCCTGCAGTCAAGATTTTCTTTAAGGGTGTGCAAAAACCTGTTAATGAGCATTTTAGTCGTCAGAGGAGCATTTTCCTTCACTGATGTTACCCGGCCCCTCCCTGGGGAAGGCTGATACGGGATGCTTCGGTTATCACTAACCCTACGAGAAGTGACCTGAGTTAATTCCGCAATTGTTTAGTCACCGAAGACTCTTTATTTTGCTGGGTTTGTTTTTTGTTGGTTTTTTTTTTAAATTAAATATTAGGTTGGTGATTCTTTTACTCTGATGGTGGTGGCGGACGAAACCTTGCTGCCATCGGGCCCTGCCTGCAGTCAAGATTTTCTTTAAGGGTGTGCAAAAACCTGTTAATGAGCATTTTAGTCGTCAGAGGAGCATTTTCCTTCACTGATGTTACCCGGCCCCTCCCTGGGGAAGGCTGATACGGGATGCTTCGGTTATCCTACGACCTACGAGAAGTGACCTGAGTTAATTCCGCAATTGTTTAGAGACTCTTTATTTTGCTGGGTTTGTTTTTTGTTGGTTTTTTTTTTAAATTAAATATTAGGTGTGATTCTTTTGGCGGACGAAACCTTGCTGCCATCGGGCCCTGCCTGCAGTCAAGATTTTCTTTAAGGGTGTGCAAAAACCTGTTAATGAGCATTTTAGTCGTCAGAGGAGCATTTTCCTTCACTGATGTTACCCGGCCCCTCCCTGGGGAAGGCTGATACGGGATGCTTCGGTTATCACTAACCCTACGAGAAGTGACCTGAGTTAATTCCGCAATTGTTTAGTCACCGAAGACTCTTTATTTTGCTGGGTTTGTTTTTTGTTGGTTTTTTTTTTAAATTAAATATTAGGTTGGTGATTCTTTTACTCCTCGTGAGCACCGCTGTAGCGAGCACTAGATGGCGCGTCGCAATCGGGCTGTACACCGCGTCCTTTGTTTATGCTACCATCGATTCACTGACAATAAAGAACATGCGACTAATTAACCCCCGGGCAGCGGCCGTGCCTCTTTCCTCCGCTTCACCCCGGGGATTCAGCCCCAAGGGGCTCCGGGCGTCCCAGCCCTTCGTGCCCCAAATTCCCTGCCTCGGGGCTGCGCTTCATCCCCTCCCGCCTCAAGTTCTTGGGGTTTTCTTGGTGTTTGGGGGGTTG